TACGCCTTCTAAATGCCTTATTCCTTGTCTCTTTATTTTAGCGAACCTTATGTTACCGAAGATGATTTGAAGTTAATGTTACGAGGGGCAGGGTTGAGTGGAGCAATAGAGGAGGAGGAGCAGGTAACCATATATGTCATCTATATTATACGTACAAACGAATAATTTTGATTGAGCACTTGATTAGCCCAAAATTTTATCTGCAATGGATATTTTTCTTTTATCTCCTCTTCTGTAGCAGTAGACCAGTGTTTCTTCAGTGAATCCAAAATGAATAGCTCCACCTTAGCTATCCGGTACAATGCCTACGTACGGGCATGCTGCAATTATTACTCTCTATTTTGCATAAATCTAAACGAATCATCCATTGGTTCCTCTTTCTTTGTTTGGTTCTGGTGCTCTTACCATTGGAATCCCTTGCAGGATATGATTGAAAATGTATTAGAGATAAAAGATACCCATGTTCGAGAGGTGATGACACCTCTTGTTGATGCAGTCGCAATCGATGCAAGCTCAACTCTTGTTGAGTTCCACAATTTGTGGCTGACTCATCAATTTTCAAGGAAGATAAGCTTAGTAGTTAGTAATTCATCTTTTAGCTGTTTTTCCTTACGAAATAAGCTAAGAGATTTGTTGAAATCATTTTCTCAGGGTGCCTGCTTTTGAGCAGCGGATTGACAATATAGTCGGTATCGCATATGCTTTGGACCTACTAGATTATGTTCCAAAGGTGAGACGATTTCTGCTCATAATATTTTTATAATATTTTTTCTTTATTTCATTGGTAAGTCTTTGCTTATTGATGCATGCAACATTATCATAGTTTGCAGAATTATGATCTGTTTGATTTTGAAGGGTGAACTGCTAGAAAGTACTACTGTGGCAGATAGGGCTCATAAACCTGCATACTTTGTGCCCGGTAATTCTGTTGGATTCATACTTTGCAACATGTGCCTATAGATTATATTCTGAGAAGCCATTACATTTAGTATTCTCAATATGTTTTGCAGATTCAATGTCAGTCTGGAATCTCCTTAGAGAGTTTCGAATCAGGAAGGTTCACATGGCTGTTGTTCTTGATGAATATGGTGGAACAGTTAGGGTATGCGGTCTACCTAATTTTGAATGATTTTGTATTTACTTTTCTACTGTTGAATGTTTCTTATCTGTTCGGAGTTTTTGCTAAAGACGCAGTTTTCATGTTTTGTGTGGCATTATTTGATTTGTATGGCATAACTTAACCGGATTGTTATATGACATTAATATGAGATTGAACATGGAAAAGTTTCTGCAGTTTGAAAAGTTGAATGAGCTGCCAAAAATTCCTATGTTAAAGACTACTTAGCAGGCAACGATTAGTAGCGCATTTCTTCTTGTCTCTCCTTTTTTATTTATTAGTTTTGATTTTTATGAAAGATAGTCACCTTGGAAGATGTGGTTGAGGAGATTGTCGGTGAAATTTTCGATGAAAATGATTCAAAACTAAGGCTTGCGACGCCTTTTACGACTTCATTATTAACTTAGTTCCTCTGTTATAAACTTTATACTCCTAATTATTTAGATTTATTCAAAATGCTGCTTTTCATTATTCCGCAATTAGTGAAACTTGCTTAAGAAATCCAACACCAGTCAAGACGATTGTTACACCTCAAAATCTCTGCTCAATGATTAATATAGCTCGGTTCTTATATTTTCGTTTCCTGCTATAACAGGGGGAGATCCAGAAGAAAACCGGCTAAATCGTAATGCGAGCAGAGGGTATCTTTGATGTTGATGCTAATACATCTATTGACCAACTTTCTGAAGATCTAAACATCAAAATTCCAGAGGTATATTACTTTTATAACTCATTATTATTGATATAATCCTCGTGCATAAATTTCATTTTATTTGTTAGCTTCTGCTAGTTTAGTAAATATAGAAATGTCTATGAATATGCATTCAGATGTAAAGTGTCAACATATTTTGTTTATAGGAACATCAGTATGAGACCGTATCGGGTTTTGTATGCGAGGCATTTGGATATATACCAAGGACGGGTGAGAGTGTCAAAGTAGTGCTTGAAAGGGGCAATGAAGAAGATGATGATGAGAATTCCGAAGCTGCATCTGATCGCCAAGATCTGAAGGAAAGGCATCAAGTATATAAACTTGAGGTACGGTTCAAACCTTTTCGAGATACTCATTCACACTGAACAATGTAATATTTTGAGTGTCGAAAATATCAGTCATTTGCGTAGTAATTTTGTGCATATTGTCTTGGATGCAGATATTAATAGGAAATGTCCGAAAAGTTAGTGCTGTTCGATTCGAACAGATAAACAACGAGGAAGAACTTTTATATCCCACAGCAGTAACTCCGATGGTTCCGAAAATCGTGAAGAAGAAATGGAGCAGTGATTAAGACTCGAATAACGGTGATCGGGATGAAGATACATTTGAAAAAGAGCAACAGGATGACCTCTGGGCTGATCATTATGTAATTGCTGATCATAAAGAGGATAATGAGAGCCCCAATGGTCAGTAATTGTATTACACTAATTGTTCTTTTTTTTTCTCATTTGTCATTTCCCCTTTCTAATTTCTTAGAGCTTCTTAAGAAGAGGTAAAGGCCAACATTGTACAAATTTTCACAGAATGAAGTGTCAATGGTGCCTGGGGATAATGGCCTATTTACTTGATGAAGCTTCTTGATTGATAGTCATCCTTCTCGTAGAACCAAATGTTCGATCATCAGAAATGGTGTGAATCCTACCGAGTTTGTTCAGTGTACTTCGAAATGAAGGATGGTCAGCTACCTGAGATATAATCTCATGCTGCAGTGGATCTTCAAAGAAATTGGTAAGAGCCTCTGCAGCATTATCCCTCAGCTCCCCCGGATGTCATGTAACAATTCCGAGTAGACAGGGACAGCCCCTGATTCGTTTAGTGCTTCTTGATCTTCCTGATTATAGCTCAGCGGAGTTTCGGACACCGTTTCTCTTACCTCATTTCTCCGAGAGCCCAAAAGCTCGACCAGAAGGGGGATTGCATGGTTGCACCCGAGATTCGGACAACAGACACCGAGTGCTTGTAACCCAATAGATTCCAGAAAATATTAGCAGCTGCAGCTTTTGATTCACTTTGCCTTTCCCAAGGATTCTCACTAAGTTTTCAGCTATTGAAACTGCATTAGCCTCTGCAACAGCTAATACACAGAAAACATCCTCCGCGATCTCATGACCGAGTGGTTCGGGTCCTTGAGTAAGCTCGGCACCAAGGGAATTGCCCGCCACGAGTTTTGCAGCAGCGTCTCTGACTTGAAACATCTCCGTAAGAACTTCTATAACACTCAAGTCCACAAGCATACGGCATTCACACCGTGTAACCCGATTGCTTGGCAAGATCGTTCCCTAGATAACATGTGACGACAATTAGTTGCCTCTATAAGAAATCAAACCATAACAACATCGGCCGATGAATTAACATATTAACAACGATCTCCAAACCATCATTCGTGCTAATGATTCGATTTTTGTTACACACGTTTACAAGGCACCAAATGCATTTCAGAAACTAGCATCAGACTGCGGCGATGACCTTAGTATCGAATGCAAAGCACCGGATTGGCCTATCACGGTGGTCAACCTACCATCTTCTTAATGAGCAGCACATTTTAAGCAATGAATAACCGGTCCTTGAAGACGAGGGCTCGAATTATTTGAACTACTATAAGCAATAAATTACTAAGAATCTGTATGGTTTGGCTCAGTTTGGGGCTTGATTTGATAGCTTAGTGAATTAAGCGCTCGAATTTATAAAACCGTCTAACTCGAAAAAATTTAAATAAAGTTTGAGTTATAAAATAAGACTCATAAATTCAATTAACTCAAAAAAAATTATTTAACTCGATTCGATCAAATACTCAACAATGTTAAGTGTTTTAGTGCATTCAAATTATATTGTTGATGTGAGACTGATTGGTCAAATGATGAAATTACTGTCAAGTTTTCCAATTTGAATTTATTTTTAAGTTTAAATACCAATTTGAGAAAATTTACCAAGGTCAACTACCAATTTGCATAATAATCCCCAAAAATAATACAAAACTAAACGGGGCCGTTTCGGGATTTGCAAAACTAAACATCGAATAGTTCGTTTCTTTTTGTTTCTTCAAAGAAGCGATAGCTATGCACACAGCAAATTATTTTGTAATAAAAATGGCTACTTTGGATTCATCAAACTCGTCCGCCGAAACCGACATTGAAACAAACCCTAGCCCTGATCCTAATTCTTCAAAAGCCACAATCCCAATTCCTCCTAATTCCAATTCCCCTGCCGTATGCCTCATCAATTTCGCAGGAGATTCCGCCGGCGACTCCTTCATGGACTCCCATATTAGTTGGTCAATAAATCAGATACAGAAGATTATACGAAAAAATGGTAGTAGTTGAGTGAATTAGATGGTTATAATGTTGAAAAATTAAATTATGATTTATTTATTTCTTTAAAAAAGAAGCGTTTGTATGATTAATCTAACAGTTCATACAAAACAAGACGAGAAACATGGGCCACGTTGAAAAATCTCTCTACATCTACACCTAATAGAGTTAAAAGAGTGCATCATGCTCCTCGAATCGAACGCACTATGACAACACTTATAAACACAATACATGGATTAAATAATTATGATTTATAGATTGAATAATTTTCTTAAAACAAAGCATCAGAATTTGGATAACAGTGACTTGGGTTCTCCCATGGCCTTCCGTGGCTTTAAGCTCGAACTGCTTCCGGGAACTTTGGACCTTGAAGAGACTTAATTCATATGTATGTGAGCTTTTGACGTTTGAGAAATAAAATAGTAGGCTTCTTTTCGCGAACTAGGTTGCTATATGATGCATGTTGAAATTTGAATGCTCTGAATTTACTTCTTTTGGTGCCAGTTCATGCATAGGCTTAACTTCTGTCACCAAGCAATAATCTTTAGCTGGTTTCTGGATTTCTAAATTAACATTTTGATGGGGCTTATTTGTCTGCTTAGATCAGGTATACACTTTCTTTAATTTCCGCTTTTCTGTGATCGTTGCAGGTTCGGGATTGATTAAAAAGAAGGGCTTTAAAGGCTCCTTTGTGGAGGCAGGATCTTATGCTAAGGTATGAGAATCTTATGACTCGAGAATAATATAATTAACTTGTAGTTCTCATCCCCCCCGAGTGAATAAATCTCTAGTTTCTCTTATATATTTGCTTTTCCCTTTTATAGACGTTTGCAGTTTTGTCCGGTGTACACAGTTTGGTTGTTTGCTTTTTGAAGAGGCTGCGAGGAAAAGATGATGGTATGCCTTGTGAAAACACCGGAACACCATCTTTCTTTCTTTCTTTGCCCGTTTTGCGCGTGCGTGGTGTGTTGATATACAGTAATTCTGTGTTTGTCTGCAGTTATTAATGCTGGTGTAGCCGGATGTTGCACTGGACTTGCTCTAAGTTTTCCAGGTACAGGAATCACGAGGTTCATTCATTTGCTTACAGGGTTCGATTTGGACCTTATTTATTTCGTTGAAACGGTTATGCAGGTGCACCCCAGGCACTTCTTCAAAGCTGCCTCACCTTTGGAGCCTTCTCGTTTATCATGGAAGGGCTTAAAAAGCAGCAGCCAGCGCTGGCACATTCATTTTCTCCGAGAAACAAGAGTGGAACACGCCCTTTGGCTCTCCCTCTTTCTCTCCCTCTTCCAGATGAGCTCAAAGGAGCTTTCTCTTCCTTCTTCAAGTCCTTAGTAAAACCAAATAAAGGCAGCTCTTGGACCGCTAACTGACGGGGCTGCCATTTTTGTGTTCTTGTGTTTTGTATATCGTTGCAAGTGTGAGTGTTGAGACTGTACACTGAAATTTTTTGTTAAAGATTTTTGAAGCATTTGCAAGCAGAAATATGAAGTTGTTTCTTTTATGTACTTTTGTTGTTATTTGGAGTCATAATATCAAAATTCTCCGTATTCTTTTGAAGTACTTTGGTATCAATGTTTCATTTTGAGGCAAATTGCACTCTGATTGGATGAAAATCGTTAGTTGACTAACAGTCAACACATGTCGATGACAAAAGAGTGTCATGTGTTCAAAATGATCATATGTCACATGTCAAGTGTTGAAATTGATGATATGTCACATGTCACTTTTTGAAAGTAATGATATTACATATGTTACGTGTCCAAAAAATATGATGTAGTATATATCATGTATTGAAAATGAGGATGCGAGTCTATCACATGTAGAAAAGTGATGACATTTCACATGCTGTTCATTGAAAGTGGTGACGTGATTGTCTCAATTAACAATAAACGTTGATCGTTAGTTAATCAATAATATTTATCTAACGATGAACAATTTTGCTTTAAAATGAAAGGTTGGGTCCAAAATGTTAAAAGAATGACAAAAAAAACTATTAAATTAAACGATAGAAATATATATATATTTTTTGAGATTAGACTTTGTTTGGAGGAGAAAAAGTTTCTTATATTAGTGTATAGGAAAATGAAGTGGTAATAATCTTATCTGGTTTGGATATGCAAGCATTCTATGGTAAGTTTCTTAATAGTTATTTTAAAGGATTTGCTTTATATACATAGGAGACAGACACACTAAGTCCCTTCGGAGGCTAAGTGTATCCTGATTTTTAAGTCGCTGCAATTTAGAGTTTTCTTCTAATTTGCATGAGCCTTGTGTCGAGCATGACCTCTGATAGGAAATTATGAAGACTTAAGACTAAGATAGTCGAGTAGTGTGGGTCACATCTCTAGGGTGTATCATCTCTGTCTTCTTTTAATGCCTTTGTAGTAATTTCCATGAATTCTACTTTTTATACGTTTCTGTTATTGGTATTTATGAAGGCTTAGAACTGGGCTTGCTATCGTGGACTTCTGTGTAACATTCTCTTCACTTTTAAATTTAGTCGGGTCTTACGTTTCTGTCTATATGCAGAGATTTATTTGCAGGGATTTATTTGCAGGGATTACTGCCAATTTCAAACGCGCATATGATATTAATGACTGCATATGAATACTGTTCAACTATGTATTTATGTATTTATTTATACATGCATTGCATTTTATCTATATTTTTAATTTTCTGACTGCCGGAGGTCTTCCACGGAAGCTACTCTCAACCTGGCGTTGGGGGCAGCCTACTACCCTACCTCCCCTTACCCCATTGCATATGGGAATTGGGTTTTGTTGTTATTGTTGTTGTTGCTGTTGCTGTTGTTGTTGTTGCTGTGTCGTTTCTATGTTGGTTAAATAACAACATATGCATCGCTTACTTATTGTGTGTTTCGGTTCATTGGATGATCATGAAATGTATGCAAGTTCGTTTCTTTACGATTCAATGTTAAAACTAGTGGTCTTTTTGTCATTCGATTATTTTCTCTATTTAGTTTTGGTTTAATTTCATTTTTTTTAATTAACAACCGACATTCAATCTATTAATTGGTTAATCCATATGGTGACGATTGTCTCAATCCAATTTACTCCAATTGCAATTGTTAGGATTCAAATTTCTGATCTTGTTTAAAGAATCTAATGCTTATCCTATTAAACGAACTGGTTGACGGTAGGTTTAATTTCATTGCCTCTGAAGAAGCTTCAAAAAAATTTCGGAGACGACCCGATTATTGATTTTGTATATTTTCTTTAATAACCGTGTTTAATTTATTAAATAGTTTGATAACATTCTATTAATTCTAATATATTCATCTATTCATAGTATTTTTCTCACCATATATCTTTCTGTTTATTTTTTCTCACCATATTTATATAATACGTTAAATATTATTCTTATATATACTTAGTATTATTTAAGAGTTTGATTGCAGTTAGAGATAGTCGAATATGCTCAATTGAGAAAAATTATAAACTAATGTATTATTAGATAATTGTGATTATAAATTAAGTACATAAAAAATGTGGAAAAAACAATAGAGTAATTTTTACCGCTTTTGTAGATCTAATTTACTATTTTAGCCCTTAAAGTTGTTTAATTGCATCATTTTAAATTGATGCGAAAATATGATAGAGGCGAAATTGATAGATTAAGTATACTACAGGGGAAAAGGTAAAGTGTCTGCCTTTAATCTATTTTGCCCAACACAACTAGTTGATAGATTGTTTTCATTGTCTTTCTCTTCACAAGTCCCTTCATCTGGTAAACCTCCATTGTTTTTAGAAAGGAAGTGCAATAAAGGGTTCCAACAATATTACCATAAACCAATCAAGGGTTATCCTCATCCAAGGTGAGTGCTGTCATCGAGGGTGGGGTGAGGGTGAGGGTGAGGGTGAGGGTGGGGTGAGAATTTTAATTTAGGGTCTAGGATTTGAGGTATAATTTGGGGATTTAGGATTTTGTGTATAATTTAATATTTTTAAATTTTATTTTTATTATAATTCCATATAATATTAAAATATTAATAAAAATATGTCATTTTTTATGAAAAATAATAAAATAATTCATGTCATCGTTGAGTGATAAAAAAATTCAATCTATAAAGTTTAGTGAGTAAATTGAAAACATTAAAAGTACATCGAGTAAAATAGGAAAGAGAGTAAAATTCATTGATGAATAGTGTAATTTACGCCTAAAGTAGTCCACCCTTTAGACTTTACGCTAGACTCGAGGCATAGTCAACAGTGAATAGAAGAAAGCAAACAAACATTTGTAGTCTCAGCTTATTGGATTCTTACGAGAAAACACCTTCATTTCAACCGCTACACGCTTTCTTCCTTTTGTATTTAATAATTATACAGAAATTGCTCAGAAAGCTTTGTTTTTGGCAATTTGATCTCCTTTTCTCTTCATTCTTGCTCTTTTACTTGGAAATTTTGAACATCAGATTGAGACATTCTTTTCTTCCTCCTATAATTCTCCATGTGTCGTTACCTTCATCTTCCTCCTACTGTTGATGGACAGAGAGAGACATGTTGGGAACCATTAGGTACATGGGAAGAAATGTTTGTGTAACCCCCACGGACCGATAAGGGTAACCAAATCTGATCCGGGGTGTCACATTAGGGCCACCGGAGCGACCCACTGTAAAAATAGCAGAAAATTTAAAACTTTTTATCAGAACATGCAAACTTATAAAATCATTTGTCGCTATTTAAAAATAAAACAGATTTCCAGACTCGTATATAAAACAAAATACCATTACATGCCCCCTAATCACATGTATCATACTCTACAACAACGCCGAAAGAAGTCCCTTATTGAAGTCGATAGATGCACTGGTACAACTCTTTTAACCTGAAAATGTGAGTAATAGAGTGAGCTTCGAAAAGCTCAGTAATACATAACTATTGGATGATGCTGATGAATGTGCAGATACAGATAAATATATATTTCCCTATTGTTTCCGAACATTTACAGATTTTTATACTGAGCAGGGATCCTACTGATATTTCAGGTGCTAACGGATAATGAGCTTTCAGTTCAGATAAATATTTCGGATGATTGAGTTCAGGAGTTCATAATAGGTTTTCTAGTGTGTTCCCAAAAACCATGTAACTTTTCAGATCTTTTTAAAACATATATATATACCCCCATCCCAACAAATCATAATGTGTAGGTTCCCCAGAACCATACACCCAACCCAAAGGCCCTGAGCACAAAGCCGAGGAACCTGCGGAACTTCTTCCTTCAACAATACCCCCCATTTAAAACATTTCTCCGTCCGTAAACGGAGATATCAGAAATCAAAACATAATTCAGATCAGATATCAGAACAGAATCCAGGTTAGGAATCAAAACAGATTTCAGATCAGATGTCAAAACATAATTCAAATCAGAAATCAGATAAAATATTCATATAAGTAGGGAACACACTAGAGTTTCCAGATATTATTTAGAGATACATGATAATCTTATCGGGCAGAGAAACGCAATTCTTCAGTTTACCAATAGAATGCCGGAAATTAGAATCACTATTAGAATAGTTTGTTAATTGACAAAATCATCTGTTATTCAGGATATGATTCATCGGAATCATCTTACTCGTACACTTTTCTGAAGCTCTACGAAATTTGAAGGTATTCAGAATCTTTACAATCTATGACGATTAATCCGATTATCGAACAACTCCAGATGAATAGCTTCCAGAACCAATACTTACCAACTTGTCAATTCATTAACCTCTCAGGGTATTTACTCTTTAATACCAAATATTCTTATCCACAAATCATCATCTGAGTCATCACTGAATAGATCTTAAGGAGACAAGCAAATATTCTAATGGTATTTATTTTATTTCCATGTTTCAACTATACTATGAAATGCGGACGTACTTGATTTGTGGTTCATAATCCATAGGGATGATACATCATATAAGTTCATCCGAGTTTCCAAACTTATTCCAATCTCTTACTTAATCCTCAGTCATTGAGATTACTTAGTTCATTTAACATTCAAGTCCAATCCAGTTACTTCGGGATTTTCCAGAATAATTTAAACGTTCCTGAATTTCAGATACATGTTGTACTTCCATTCCATTCAATTTGGTCTTCGTGTTTGATTTGTCGAACAAACGTCCAATTCCTAGTACTGAATACGATCTAGATCTGAGCTGAACTGAATACTTCCAAAATTTGTCATCGAGCCAAACTTGAGAAGACGAACACATGTTCCAGTAATATCTATGTCATTTAGGTATTGACATAGCTTTAGGGTTGATCTACTCACTTAAATTATTTTCCATTACCTTTAAAGGTAGTCCAATACATATGCTTACTTGTATTCCTTAATTAATCCAAGACATTTACTTAATTTAGGCCATAAGGGTATTTTGGTAATTTTGATGTTCAATTTTATTCCATTCATTTCAGAGCTAGAGGATA